TCTATTCAAAAACCTGCAAGACTGAACTTTGAATGGTCAGATCGTGGATTTCTTCTTTTCTCATCCCATTTTCCTTTTGTTGCTTCTTTTCAAAAACCTGCAATTTCAACTTTGGATGGTAAGATCTTGGATTCCTACTTTTTTAATGCCATTTTCCTTTTAAAGCTTGCTTTCAAACAGCTCCAAGAATGAACTTTGGATGGGTAGATGTGGAGGAAGGGGCAGGGAACACCACAAATACATGCTCAACTCCAAGCATCCTTTAAAAATTCAGTCTTTTCATGGTTCTAGAGGATATTCTATCTATAGTTTTGCCCAACTGTCCTAGCACAGCACTAGCAAAAATGAACTTTGGATGGTCGATCTTGGATTCCTACTTTTCTATACTTTTCTCATCTCCTTTTCCTTTCGCAGCTTTCTTTTCAAAAACCTGCAAGACTGAACTTTGAATGGTAAGATCGTGGATTCCTTCTTTCCTCATCCCATTTTCCTTTTGTGGTTTCTTTTCAAAAACCTGCAATTTCAACTTTGGATGGTAAGATCTTGGATTCCTACTTTTTTAATGCCATTTTCCTTTTAAAGTGTGCTTTCAAACAGCTCCAAGAATGAACTTTGGATGGGTAGATGTGGAGGAAGGGGCAGGGAACACCACAAATATAATCTTAATCCCAAACATCCTTAAACAATTCAGTCTTTTCATGGTTCTAGAGGATATTCTATCTATAGTTTTGCCCAACTGTCCTAGCACAGCACTAGCACAAATAAACTTTGGATGGTCGATCTTGGATTCCTACTTTTCTGTACTTTTCTCATCTCCTTTTCCTTTCACAGCTTTCTATTCAAAAACCTGCAAGACCGAACTTTAAATGGTAAGATCGTGGATTCCTTCTTTTCTCATCCCATTTTCCTTTTGTGGTTTCTTTTCAAAACCTGCAATTTCAACTTTGGATGGTGAGATCTCGGATTCCTATTTTTTTAATGCCATTTTCCTTTTAAAGCTTGCTTTCAAACAGCTCCAAGAATGAACTTTGGATGGGTAGATGTGGAGGAAGGGGCAGGGAGCACCACAAATACATGCTTAATCCCAAACATCCTTTAAAAATTCAGTCTTTTCATGGTTCCAGAGGATATTCTATCTATACTTTTGCCCAACTGTCCTAGCACAGTACTAGCACAAATGAACTTTGGATGGTCGATCTTGGATTCCTACTTTTCTGTACTTTTCTCATCTCCTTTTCCTTTCACGGCTTTCTATTCCAAAACCTGGAAGACTGAACTTTGAATGGTAAGATCGTGGATTTCTTCTTTTCTCATCCCATTTTCCTTTTGTTGCTTCTTTTCAAAAACCTGCAATTTCAACTTTGGATGGTAAGATCCTGGATTCCTACTTTTTAAATGCCATTTTCCTTTTAAAGCTTGCTTTCAAACAGCTCCAAGAATGAACTTTGGATGGGTAGATGTGGAGGAAGGGGCAGGGAACACCACAAATCCATGCTCAATTCCAAGCATCCTTTAAAAATTCAGTCTTTTCATTGTTCTAGAGGATATTCTATCTATAGTTTTGCCCAACTGTCCTAGCACAGCACTAGCAAAAATGAACTTTGGATGGTCGATCTTGGGTTCCTACTTTTCTATACTTTTCTCATTTCCTTTTCTTTTCACAGCTTTCTTTTCAAAAACCTGCAAGACTGAACTTTAAATGGTAAGATCGTGGGTTCCTTCTTTTCTCATCCCATTTTCCTTTTGTTTCTTCTTTTCAAGAACCTGCAATTTCAACTTTGGATGGTAAGATCTTGGATTCCTACTTTTTTAATGCTATTTTCCTTTTAAAGTGTGCTTTCAAACAGCTCCAAGAATGAACTTTTGATGGGTAGATGTGGAGGAAGGGGCAGGGAGCACCACAAATACATGCTTAATTCCAAGCATCCTTTAAAAATTCAGTTTTTTCATGGTTCTAGCGGATATTCTATCTATAGTTTTGCCCAACTGTCCTAGCACAGCACTAGCACAAATGAACTTTGGATGGTCGATCTTGGATTCCTACTTTTCTGTACTTTTCTCATCTCCTTTTCCTTTCGCAGCTTTCTTTTCAAAAACCTGCAAGATTGAACTTTGAATGGTAAGATCGTGGATTATTTCTTTTCTCATCCCATTTTCCTTTTGTGGTTTCTTTTCAAAACCTGCAATTTCAACTTTGGATGGTGAGATCTCGGATTCCTTTTTTTTAATGCCATTTTCCTTTTAAAGCTTGCTTTCAAACAGCTCCAAGAATGAACTTTGGATGGGTAGATGTGGAGGAAGGGCCAGGGAGCACCACAAATACATGCTTAATTCCAAGCATCCTTTAAAAATTCAGTCTTTTCATGGATCTAGAGGATATTCTATCTAGAGTTTGACTATCCAACCATACATATTATATTTACATATTTTATATCATTCACATATAAAGCATATGTTTCAATCATAGTAAACACCATACATATTATATCTACATATTTGATATCATTCACATACAAAGCATATATTTCACACAGAGTGCACCTTACACACTATAGTAGCACACTCGGTCGCTTTCCGGGGCGTCCCCCACATAGGGGGGTGATGACGGGATTCTGGCATCCCGTCACGTTTTTTGGCTATGCTCCCTTTACGGGGGAGCCGAGTTGTCAGCCCCTGGCAAGATCTATAGTTAGAATATCCCTGAAAAGGTCCCGGTTGGAAAAACAATCACATGTTGTCAAAGACAATTTTCTTAATTTGATTATACCCAGTGGTATTTAACAACATGTGCTATATCAATATATTATCCAAAGTGGTATTATAATTTATGGATTCTGAAAATACCTTTTGGGCTGTATTCAAAACCACTGTTGGTTCATGATCTTATATAGAGTTTGACTATCCAACAGTTTATATCTACGTTCGAATTCAAAATCTCCAGGAGGTCCGGTGAGCACACCAACTCAATTACAAAATTGCACATCTTCAATTATCAATTATCAATTTTGTAGGGGTGATCATTTTACCCACACCCATTCCTTTATTGGGTTTGACTATTTGGGCATCCCGGGAACCAAAAATACCATTGCCAAAGAATCTACAACACATGGACCAATGGAATGGTTTTTGGAAACCTGCCGTTGTTAGCAGAATGCAGTAGGGAGGGGTCAGCACAGTGGTTGATACCATAGATAGAATATGAAAGAATATAGAAGAATATGGGATGGATCAAAACCTTCTGTCCCAATTACACCCAATTCTATACAGATTACTTTTTAAAGTAGCTGGTTTTGATCGATGTCCAAATTCAAAATCTCCAGGAGGTCCGGTGAGCACACCAACTCAATTACAAAATTGCACATCTTCAATTATCAATTATCAATTTTGTAGGGGTGATCATTTTACCCACACCCATTCCTTTATTGGGTTTGACTATTTGGGCATCCCGGGAACCAAAAATACCATTGCCAAAGAATCTACAACACATGGAATGGTTTTTGGAAACCTGCCGTTGTTAGCAGAATGCAGTAGGGAGGGGTCAGCACAGTGGTTGATACCATAGATAGAATATGAAAGAATATAGAAGAATATGGGGATGGATCAAAACCTTCTGTCCCAATTACACCCAATTCTATACAGATTACTTTTTAAAGTATCCGATTTTGATCGATGTCCAAATTCAAAATCTCCAGGAGGTCCGGTGAGCACACTGTAGCTAAATGGGCACGGGTCAAATTTGGCCCCAGCTCAATTTCAAAATTTCACATCTTAAAAAATCAACTATCAATTTTGGGGTGTGATAATTTGACCCACACCCATTCCTTTCTTGGATTTGACTATTGAATACCACTGCCAAAGGATCTATATTTCTGGGAACCACCAGCAACAGTGACAATTTCTTTGGAAGATTTTGGGCTGAAATTCGCATGCCAGAACCTAATACACCAGCATAATGACAACATTTGGTGGTCATTCCAAAGGCCCAAACAACCAAATCACAAGCTAAATGACCGCTTTTGTGATCATTTTTGAGGGACCTTTTTTTTACCAATCATCGACCCGGATTTTTGAGCCATTTTGGGATTCTATCTATAGGTTTTTTTCAGACCGTTTTTTTGAAATTCCAGAGATTCTATCTACTTCAGGATGGTTATATATATATAGTTATATATATATATAGTTATATATACAGTTATTTATATAGTTATATATATATAGTTATATATATATAGTTATATATATATAGTTATATATATAGTTATATATATAGTTATATATGTATAGTTATATATGTATAGTTATATATATATAGTTATATATATAGTTATATATATAGTTATATATATAGTTATATATCTATAGTTATATATATATACATAACTACACTCTTGTATAGTTATACATATATTCACATACAGTTATATTTAGTTTCATATAGTTGTATATTGATTTTTTTCACTCTCGCATATGTATAACATTGTATAAATATATTAAATACATATATTTTCAGATGTAGGCATGTCATACCCAGCCAAACAAAAATCTGCTGGGTATCGTCTATCGTGGCCTAAGCTGTTGTGCCTGGGGGTTTAGTTGGGGTTATAAATGGCTATCACCATGGGCTTATAACATCCATAAGTTGGGATATAAGCCCGATAAACTCCTATAACTACACTTTTAGATCCACTGAAAAAACCTGAACTGCACCCCACCCCCGAGTGCCAGCATCGATATCTATATACATATTACACCCTTAGAAGTGTTTGTAGTTCCTCGTCATACCTGCTGGTTCAAGCAGACTGCAATACCTTTTGCACAGATTTCATTTGATTCCAAGCAGGACCTGCTGCACTAATTAAATCCATGGTTGTGCCATCAAAATGAAACCACCCGAAAACTTGGGTTACCCATGCTTCAAGATGCTTCAAGTGTTATTTTGGGTGTCATCTATTCATCTATTGCATTCTATTCCTATCTATCAGTGCCATTTGTCAGCGTAGGTTCGCCCTGAGTTGGCGAACCCTTACTTCATCACAACAGGTGCAGATTGGGGCTCGGGATCTAGAAGGTTAAGCAACTTTGATGCGACTTGAAACGTGAATATCCATGAATTTCCAGGTTGATCCATGTCATGTTGATCCATTTCGATAATTTAGTTGCATCCATTTCCATGCATGTTTATCCATGTTCCTCCATTCTCTGTGGATTATCCCGAATTTGCTCATGTCAAGCCGAACGATCAACCGCCCCCAATCATGACAAGGATGATTGTCATTACTACTATTGAAAATGCGGCTATTGTGAGCGATTACTCTCATTGTTGACTAAATATTACCAGTCAGTACTGCAAACATGTCTATATAATTCTCAATCATCAGCAGCCAATCATCAGTATGAAAATATAATAACACTTATATATCATTTGTTATAACCATTCTCAATCATTGATCACCGTTTTTTTACAATCATTATTAAGCATTTTTTTAAAATCACACTTGTCACAATAAAATAACACTCATTCATGATATAATCGCTAGATCAATCATGATATCAATCACTATGTAGATCACCATTATTGATCCCTATAATCAATGATATTGATCTCTATAATATACTATGAATCGCTATATCAATCATTGATCTCTATCGATCCCTATAATATACAATGATCCATCACCCTACCAGGACCTCGATGCAGCGGTGGGCGAGCTGAAGTCTGCCGCTGGTGCGGCAGGCGGACACCGGTGAAGAACCTGGTGTCTACTATGTGATATGTATATAGTTATGTATATATATATATGTATGGATATATATATATTATATGGATATATCTGTATATAAATATATTTTATGTATATATATATACACATATTATGTATTTTATGTAATATTACTTTACTTTCGAGTGATCCCACCCTGACACAATATTCTGACACAGTTTCTGACACACCATTTGGAAGTATATATGGTAGTTTACGGCATATATGTATACATAAATATTATATAAATTCTGACATTCTTTCTGGCATATTCTCTGACATTCTTTCTGGCATTCATTCTGACATTCTATTTGGCATTCTATCTGCCATCTTTTCAGGCATTCATTCTTGCATTCTATTTGGCATCTATTTTGACATCCTATCTGGCATCTATTTCGACATTCTGTCTGACATTCTTCCTGGCATTATTTGACATTTGTTCTGACATTCTGACTGGCATTCTATCCCTCATTCTGTCTAGCATTCTATCTGACATTCTCTCTGGCATGTGTTCGGGTCCAGGCGTAGCTCACAGCATCCGGAGCGGGCGATATCGGGTCCAGGAGAGCATCTGGAGCTCGCGATCACTTGGTGCCCACAGTCACGACGAGCTGGCAGAGGAGGAGGATGAGAGGAGGCGGAGGTGAGGAGGAGTAGACCAGGAGAAGGAGAAGAAGGAGAAGGAGTTGCACCGTTGTTAAAATCTAGAGAGCCTCACCTGGCAGGTGGGGAAAAATACAGAACATTGCAGAACAATGTAAGGAAACTCGTGGTTTGATTGGAATTTGGAACCCATGGGCAACCCATGGGCATGTTTACCCTCACCAGGTCCGGCCAGTGTGGCCATCCTATCGGTTCCTGGGCGTTGGGCCTGGGGGCTCAGTGGAATCATCGTAATCAGTATAAATCCTGGTACCTTGCGATTTCATAATCTATTTCAGGGTCACGACATGTATACATATACAATTATATATATATATGTTTTAATGTATGTATATATTGTATATATGTATATACACATGTGAATGTTAGTTGATTGGGATATTACTTCCTTGACCTGGTCAGTATGTCCCACCGGGTGAGTGCTACCTGGGAACATTGCCGTCAAAAAGCAGTCACAATTTGACGGGAAAATTCAACTGAATCTATCATTGGTTCGGTAAGTTTGTTGTGGCAAATCATGATTTGATCAGTATATTATTCTGACCAATTACAATCAAATATATTAACATATATATATAGCATTATATAGCTATTGATCATGTTGATATTTAGTATCTATCAATCATTTATAATAATAATAATAATTATTATTATTGTTATTCCAACATTATTCCCATCGCAGCATTCGTTGTGACGTCACCCGTTCTTCGAACAAATCCAGGCCGCCGAAGCTGCCACGTTGTCGACGAAGCTGAAAGAGACGGGTCTCTGCCCAGGAGTCCAAGATGGGAGATTTTGTATAATGTGGGTAAAACAATGCCATAAACCACCCATTTGGGAATGGTAACCATACCACCTATGGGGGATGGTTTATTATTGTTTTACCCACATTAGCTGGATGGTTTGTGATGGAAAATCCTAGTAACATGGATGATTTACGGGCGCCAAGACTTAGGAAACCTCCATATACCTCGGGGGAAACTAACATACTAACATAGATGTGGAAAATCATGGAAAATCCATGGTTTGCCTAGCGAAATGACACCGAGAAAATCACATCCTATTTGGTTTCCCTGAATTGGGTGATGGGACAATTTACAGGAAAACCACGGAAACCCCTACAATTTCTAGCGGAAACCGTGGTTTCCTGCAGATTTTCCCTTAAACCAATATCGCGGTTTCGGGAAAAAAAAACAAACACGAGACACATAATATGGGGATGGATCAAAACTTATATTTTTTCAGAAAGGACTGGAGGGATGAACATCCATTTGCGTCCTATTGGGGTAGAAAAACATTGATAAACATTAACAAACCCACATTATATATATACACATGTGTATATATATATATTATATATATATAGAGTGTTCGTAAAGCATCCCATTTTGTACTTCCATTGCATTAAAGTTATGGCTGGTTTTACCACCTCCAACTATGATTCTTGACCCACTTCGTATGGCCAACTTTTTGGGTAAGTCTTCCAACCCCGCTTATCAGGGTCGTCATGTTAGTTGGGGGGACGGTAAAATGATGTAACATGTATAACTGGTTGGTGGTTAACGATGGTTAATGATGGTTAATGATGGTTAATGATGTTTAATAATCACTGGTTGGTGGTTTTGAACATGGCTTTTATTTTCCATTAGAAAAGGGATGTCATCCTGACAAAATTGACGAACTCATATTTCATATTTTTCAGAGGGGTGATGGCTCAACCACCAACCAGATAAACTGGGGGATGTTGTAAATTTGGATGAACATCACGATTTCCTGTAGCTTTTTCGATGGATTAAACGCTGTGAATCTCCATTTAATCTCCAGGCCGATTGGACGCCTTGGAACTCGCAGTGAAAAGAATGGAAGGTTTTGTCTGGAATGCTTCAGGGGTTGGTAACTGTCCCATTTTGGGAATATTGGACATCACCTTATAGTAGCCATTATAGACCATATACCTAATGGTTGGGTGATGTTCAAACCACCATTTGAAGAGGTTTGTTGTAGCTCGCCTTGAAAAGCAACTTAGACCCTTAAAGCAGATGTTGCCAGATTTTTGTCCTATCATCTTGGAATTAGTCATCTGATCCATGCGCCACCACCTGTGCTCAGATAGTACAGCTCTTCTGGCAGTGGTTCAGGAGACAGCGGGAGTGGGTGCCGAAATGAAAGATGAAACATGAAAAGTGATGCATGACAATGACATGTTTGGAGAAGTTTCTGGTTTTCAATCACCTACATGAAAAGTATGGTTTTTCGCAAGCTGTAGTGACAACAACAAGTTCACTTTGCCAAGTCAGAATTTGAATTAGCTCTTCGGTGTGATATTCTAAGAGGTGCATTGCTGGGTATGTCCCAAGGGAGCCAACTGCGGAGTCTGAAAAAGGCTTTGGCCGCTGTGAACATGACTCTGGATGCAATAGGAGTCGCAGAATGCCGCAGCACCTGTGTCCTTGCTCTTAGGTACTGGAGGCCAGCAGGGGCATGCCCAGCCAATTTCACACCTCTGTCAGCGTCAGCAGTATACATATATATATATATACATATAATATCATGTAATATAATATAATAATATGATATAGTATAATATAGTATAATATCATGTATGTAATATAATATAATAATATGATATAATATAATATAGTATAGTATCATGTAATATTCTATAATATTATGATATAGTATAATATAGTATAATATCATGTAATATAATATATTAATATGATACAGTATAATATAGTATAATACAATATAATATAATACAATATAATAGAATAGAATATAATATTCATTTATTATATTGTTCAGATTTGTTCAGTCAACCTCACGATTCTTTTGTCTCATGCTGTTCCCGGCGATCTGCCCCCTGATTTTCCATTTCCTGCCTCCTGGGCAGCCGCGCATCTGAACACAATTTGGCACGCGTCCACCTTGGGGTAGCAAAGAGAAACATCATGTTGACATTGATGATATCTTTGCTCATGTTGACATTGATGATACAAAATATGATATATCATGTTGATATTTTATATTGATGTTTTCCTCCATTTTAATGGGGATATACCACTATATATCATGTTGGGTAGTTGATTTATGATGAATCAATGTTGATGATTTCGGATAGTTGATCATTTTGATAATGGTAGTAATCATCCATTTTGGTGCATCATTATGTTGGGTAGTTGATCAATGCTGATCCAACACATTGATGCCCTTCTCTTCGCAGCAACACAGCTGTTAGACATGGCTGTGATCCATCCATCCACGGGTTTGTCAACTGGGTACCCCATTCCATCCACCGGTGAATCATCATCATCATCATCATCATCATCATCATCCTCATCCTCATCATCATCATCATCCCCAATAAATGGCAATACATCATATTTTATCACAGTGTTTTCCAAAGTGTAAAACCCAATATATCCATTTTCATCCCCATCCATTCACATATTCCATCATTAAATAGACTACATTACTATATATATATATACATATATGCATATATATATATGCACAATTATATATATACATATATATATATACATACACATATGTATATATATATATATGCACATATATATATATATTTGTATGTATGTATATTATCATGTACAATCTATATCCATCCGCAATAACCATAAATAAACTTCATATTTCATCAGATATTCCCATCATGCTCCGATTTTTAATTTGGGTGGCCATTTTCCATCTCACAATCGCCAGGCTCGGCGGCTCCCTTCTTCGTGAACAAGGAGGAACTGAGTCAAGCTGGCGCTGGTCTGGCGAAGGAGAATCCGGCCGGGGAACCCAGGTTTTTGATTTTTTTGGCGGGCCCACAAGATATCATGGAAGTGGTAAAAAAGATGTACAATTGACAAGTTGTGTGTTTTCTGAGTTTGTTTTTTATTACAGTTCGATCCATATCAATAATATGATGATCTGAATTGACCAAAATTATTGGATGAGTCTAAACGCCAAGCAGATGAAACAAGCATTAAGATGCATTAAAATGCATTAAAATGCATTAAGATGCATTAAGTAGATCAAATTATGGACCCGGTTGCAACTGGTAGACATTGGTAGTAACGGCCCAGCCTTGAAGGTTCCCGGTGTGCCCGATGGTCCCCACGCGTCCATCTGGCTCTTTGCAGACTCCAAGGTGGGGATCTGGTGGATACTTAAGATGTCTTGACAAATGGATACACATGGTTTCATAGAGTTTGTTTCAAATTATATGATATTATAATATATTATATGTATACATATAAAAAGTATAATCTGTATAGATTATATATCATTATATATATACATAGTATGATATATATACATACAATATACCCGCACACACATATTATATATACATGTATAATATAGTATAATCATGTATGACATTCATATATATGTACATATGTATTATCATGTTTTCTTGAATATTCTAATAAAATGATATTTTGGGAACACAATGAGTTGGTGTCATTGTGTGGATCGATGAGCCAAGCCCTCTGCGGGGACCACTCACCCTCACCTGGTAGGTGCCAGGCATTCTCACGCGCAACCTACTGGAGGCCATTGGTCGCTATGCCTAGTGACGGCATTTTTTTTTTAGGACCTTTCTGTTGCTGGAAATATATTTATAATTACATAATATATATATAATATAATATAATATATAATATATAATATATAATATATAATATATAATATATAATATATAATATATAATATATAATATATAATATATAAATGCCTTTATCATCCACTCCCCCTATTGAACAAAAACTCCCCGTTTTTGAACCCGAGTGCCTAGGATTGGATCTGTTCATTTTGGGGGATCGTGTCAGGCGCTGGACGCAAGATATCCTCGCGCCTCGAAGGTTGGTGTTTTGGTGGCACCGCCGTAGTTTTCGGACCATCGAACGCGGTCCGCGACACGTCCGAAAGGTTTCAGCCAGTCTCAGCCTCGGTCTGTTCCGACAGGATAGACTAGATCATGAGATGTAATATGATGTAGTATGTATATATATATATATTATACACATTTGTTTTTTGTTCTGCGTGATTTGTTTCGACACGCCTGAGAATTCGTAGATTTTCATCGTACGGGTGAGTTGATACAACTGATGGTAAGCTCACAATCGAACAGGCCCCACAAATTGAAGCAGCAATTCATACATTCATTGAGATTGAGATTTATATGTGGGTTTAGTGTCAGTCATTTTCCATCTTAAGCCTGGAATCTGTGCAACAATCTGAGTTACCCATGGCGGCCGCCAGGTGAAGCCTGTTGCTTCAGCTGAAGCCGAGGCCATCCCCGAATTCTGCAGGGAAAATCTGCAGGAAAGCCACTGGAAATCACTGCCAGAGACTTGATCCAATTGAAACCCAAATCATGGTAAAGATTGGATGGTACATTTCTTTCCACAAAACTGTTTATAAATCACAGAAAAGTCATAGAACTTTGAATAAATGTGGACTTTCATAGACTTTCCATATGTTTCCATATCGTTTCCCATGGCCCTTCTGATTTTCAGAATCTGCCATTGGGATCGGTGACCCACAGGATCCCGCGGCCAGTCTTCAGAACTGGGAGCCACCGTAGGGTGGACCCAGCTGCGTGGCGCATCTCTATGATGTTTTCACCAAAAGAAAGGTTAGTTTTGGGGAACATATAATATCATATATATATGTAGATTCATATGAATTCGTCTTTTATTTAATTTCATATTTGCTTAGTTTAGTTGGTTGTTTTATGTTGTTCTTGGATCTATGGCTGTCATTTTGTATCCTTGTCTATGTTAGGCGAGAAGGTCGACAGTTGCGGACTCGAGATCGCAGTGATGGCCATGGGTGCTGACCCCCAGCGGCAGCGAGCGGGTGAGCATCGAATATTTGATATATATATACCAATATATATATATACCAATATATATATATACCAATATATATATATATATACCAATATATATATATATATTATATATATATTGGATATAGTATTGTAATAAATAGGTATGACAGAGGGATGAATCTAAAGTCAGTAGCCTCTTTGATTTCTGCGGACACTAATGTTGACCATGGGAACTCGAGATGAGTGGAACTTTTGTTTGGCTTGGGCGAAGAAGGATAGCTTCCCACACGTTAAAGATGATTGGACATTTCAGATTGCTTCCCCATAACAGTATATTAATGGTACATGATAATGGTTAATATATGGTTATTATATGGTTAATGATACCATCTAATAATGGCCTTTGGAATGTACTTACAACAGTGAGCAATTGCACGTCAGTGCACAAATTCGGGGCTCTCGGATGCTCAAATTCGCCCCTTTTTTTGTCCTCATTCCTGGATGATTCCTGTACCTTTTTCCGACATGTGCAGCGAAAAAGTGGTCTGGTCTGATGGGGTACGTATGTTAATGTAAACGTAATTTGTATTCATCCTTATAGTACAGTATATGGTAGATGTTGATGAGGATATTGATGTGCGTCTTTGAAATTGATGAGAAGTACATCTAGTGATCTAGTGATACACTTATATATTATATTTATACTATATACCTGTAGCTTATTGTGCAATCATAAGTTAAGAGACGTAAGATCTCATAAGTACCATTTTCACCTCATGATTTCGCAGCATGATTTCGAGTTGTGCCGGATGTGTTTCCAGGTGGATGAAGAGCGATCCCATTTTCAGCACATTGGAGGTGAGAGTTTGGGCCAAAATCATTGGGCCGACCTTGCCATGTCCATGATAGGGGAAAATCATCCCCATATTGCCTGGACTTTGTCCTTATTTCAGGTTCTCGATAGCAATAGTAGTGTGATGCAGTTTGCCGATTTTTCGGATAGAGAAGGGTCAGATGCCTTAGACACAATCACCCTCACACAATTTTGAGCGGGTTTGTTGTTGGTAGCAACCCTCCAATGGATTGTTTTTGCTGATGGCAAGATCGCTGCTCAATGCTCAATATCTGGGGTTATACTGGTTCGATTGGAATTATCTTTGGGATTATATGATCCCAATAATTATATCCCAATAATTATATCCCAATATATATACATCAACTATATATACATCAACTATATATAACTATATATACATCAACTATATATACATCAACTATATATACATCAACTATATACATCCACACTAATGGTTATGGGGTTACATCAATCAATTGCTTCGTGTGTGGATGGCGCTCAGGGGCTGGGAATGGAGTCGACCACTGTAGAGCCTGGCGCTTTTCGGGGATGGCGCATCCCAGTGGTAGGATGCCAGAGAGCTGTGGGAAAACCTATCAATCTGTTTTACATTATATGGGGGTTTCCCCCAAAATGGATCAAAATGGAAGGTTTATAATGGAAATCCATGTTAACATAATTTATAGGGGCCATATTCTAGGAAACCTCCATCTATAAAACGCGAAGATGATATTTCTTCACTCGGATTGAGGCTGGTTCTCAGAGAATTCTACCCTGTAATCCTTCTGTCACCGCCTAGATGATGAACACTGTCCACATGGAATTGATCCCCCACAGAGCTTGCCTGCTGTGCTGGGGAACAGATCTAGTGAGGTAGACGCATGGGCAGACACAGAATGCGGATGCAGATGTTCTTTGGGAACAGAGCAGTGACCAAAACCCAAATTTGTCGTTTTTCTAACGAGGTCATGCTGTGCTTCGATTGATATCTATTTGATGCCGCTCATGATGATGATGATGATGATGAGGATGATGATGGTGATGATGATGGTGATGATGATGATGATGATGATGATGATGCTGGTGATGATGATGATGATGATGATGATGATGATGCTGGTGATGATGATGATGATGATGATGATGCTGGTGGTGGTGGTGATGATGATGAGGATGACGATGACGATGACGATGATGACCTCAATGAACCCTCCTGCACGGCACACAAACTACTCCATCCCGGTACCGCTGACAGCGCTGTCCGCAACCGGACCGTGTTGAGGTTCAAAAAGCGTCCCTTCGGAGTGAAGAGGTGCGAACCAACATGTCTGTGTTGGATGGAAACAGTGCCAACTATTGGGGAAAGGCGGCTGTCCTTGAGTAAGTTGTATACGTATAGGTTTGAGGATGCATTTTTTTCCCCCTCCAGATGACTTTGACAATTTGAATACATCCCCGCACATGAGCTGTAATGAATTTCAGTAATGAATTTCATCCCGGGGGGTGTGAGGAAGGATAGATTGAACCCATCGAAGCCCTTTGAACAACACCTATGGGTTTGGATCTTTCTCTTTCATCAACATTTGGTACAGGCTTTGCAGTCACAGTCTTCAGTCTGTGGGGGTCGTGTTGCAGGTACACTCCTGGCTATCAAGGAAAAGGCGCAATGGTGATCGACATGCAGGCTGGATCGAAGCATGGGAACGTCGCGCCTGAACTGTGGTTCATTCTGAAGGTGGGCTCCGAATGTGTCAGAGGCTTTAACAAAAACCAATGGAACTTCAACATATCGAAATGCTCATGGCTCCAAGCGCTCGGTTTTTTTGAGACCAATGTATGGCGTCAGATGGTGCCAGCAGTTGCCATCCAACACAATAGATCTCAGCCGTACCACCAAAACATCCAAAACTGGGCAACGGGCAACCCAAGTTCATCTCCAAGTTCATCTCCAAGAGTCCCAAAGGATTGAGCCCTTTGTGGCGGATCCCATCCCCGGCCTCTCCCTTGAGCCAGGAGAAAGGCCGCTATCCCGGTGATGCCATGGGTCAAGCAGCAGTTGGGGGTGTCAGGCCAGGTTGGTGGAACCCATTCGAGCGGGGTCGTTTAATAACATGGTTGTGTCTGAAAAGGGGAGATACCGTATTGATATACCTCCAAATCATCATTTTCATGGGGAACATGATGATGAAGCATCGTTGGGGTATTCATATGTATTCATTGTTTGGACAACTCAAAATATGTTAGAATCCTTGTATCCAATACATATTATATATCCATGGTATAATCATGGATAGCCTACTACCTAGTGGACTTTCGATCACCATGGTTATTGACCACTTCTGATCCGTGGGATGATCGGAGAATTTACAGGAAAGCCATTAGTTTTTACTACCATCCAAATATGTACGTTTAATTGTGGAATTTCTGTGAGACTCTTCCAGAATCCCAGGGGTCCCAGGGTGCGTTTGAGTTTCCAGGGTATCCATTATCTGTCTTGAATTTGGAGCGAAGGAGCTACAAATTGATTTTCCCAAGGACATTAGATGACATTATCCCATGGTTTTGAAGCCAATTTAAAGTTCGGGTGTTGTTTCTTCGTTTTTTTCCCCACACCGTCGCTCCCCACAACAGGACGGGGATGGTGGTGAAGACAGTAGGAGGCACGGCTTGACACGAAAGCTGTAATTACGGAAGGGGGCAGTTGGTTGGGGGCCCTCTTCCAGTTATAAGTGGATAACATAGAACCACAGTTATAGGATGTTATAGGGGTGTTACATGGCGACTTATGGAGGTGAATGCCATTGTTGTACCAACAAGAATCACCCCGACTGCACCCCGAAGTAGTTTTTTTTTGGGGGGGTTCTTCACGGTCACCACCCCTGGGAGGCAAGGATGTGAGTCAGTGGGATTTCGAAGACTTGATGGATCTGCTGAATGACCAAGGTAGGGGGCCACTGGGACCAATGGTGGATGGATGGTTTGTGATGGTTGCAGGTGGCTGCAAGGACTCGTATTGGAGGTGCCACTTTCATTGGTTGGTGGCAAATGGTGGCCTACGCCTACGCGCCATTCACCTCCAATCAATTTGCCAGCACCCACTATTGACAATAACCGATTGCAGCAACATCCAAGCTGTTGTTTTCCCCGCATCATGCAACAAGCGAGCACCGGTCAAGCAAAAGATGACAAGGCCATGACCACGAACTTGGATTGCTGGTGATATACTCCGGAAGCATGCCAAAATTGCATGTTCAGAGAAGATCCTTTCCGTTTGATCTATTTGAATCTATTTGAATCTATTTCATACTGCCAATACCGCTGATTTCCATCCATTCTTATTTTCAAATTATGAAGATCTGTGGTAAATTCTCTATGCCATATATGCTGATTTCCATCATTTTCCATCTGGTGACTTCATCCTTTCCAAGTCATGGCGCAGGCATCATGGACCCAGATTCCAAGTCCGCGGCTTCCTGGGGTGATGCGTCGAAGGGTCAGCAGCGACAGCCCGTGGAGGAGGTGCCAGCCGCAAACGTTTACATCGCTATGGAAAATCAATGAAAATCACCATCTGTTCATAGATTTTCATAGGTAAATTCAGGTAAATCAACGAACTACTATATAACTGGATTAACTGGGTGATTTTCTATAGCTACGTGGGAATCTTGTATGGTATATATGGTTATTCTAATGGATTCTAATGGGACATAAGATGATTTAGAGCGAGGGCTGACGAGGTATGAGGTGAATCTTTGCAATTTAAGCGAGGTGAATTAATTAAATTCAGAAAACGAGGTGGGCAGAAATTGCTTTCAAAGCATGTGCAACGAGTGAAAAAAAACTTTTCGGGCTCCAGAAAGTTTTTTTTGTTCCCATCAGAGTGAAAAACATAGAAAATTAAGGGTGCATTCAGACCCGTGAAAAAAAAACTTTCTGGAGCCCGAAAAGTTTTTTTTACCGTAATTCAGCCAGTGCCCTGTGGTGGCATGCCCGGTTGTTCCAGGACTTCCGTATTTGTTCTACAGTGAAACCACTGTTTAAGAACCCACTGCATTAAGAACCTCAGGGGCTGGATTGCTGGATTCAACTCTGTCTACCAGCTAATTGAAAAAAGAACCCTAGGGAACCCTGAAATTTTGGTCAATAGTTCTTGTTCACCTTTCCCAGGTAGCGCGACTAGATTCTAAAATTGCTAAAGCTTGAGGTGTAGCGGGGTATCTTGGTGCTGCTGCTGCAGCTTCTCTTCTCTGGGGTCGAATTTGGGGGGAATCGAGCCCCTGCAAATCCGCTTGTAAAAGAGGCATCTCGGAAACAGGAAAAAACTTTTTAGGCCCTGAAAAGTTTTTTCAGCATCCCCAAGCCTCTGGAGCCCAAAGCGTTGCTGCAACGACGACAAAGATAATTCAAAAAAGTTCAACCCAAAAGGAGGCAGAGGACTAGTTCGAATGGCTTAAGGTCGAGAAAGAAGCTGAAATCCGTTTTGAATGTAACGAGGCGAGGACTGAAGATTTAATCAGAGGGGAAAAGTAGATTTAAGACGAGGAAACCGTTTTGAATTTAAAGTAAATTTTGCAGTAATCATGTTATAGTTCCTGGTCTGTCTGAAAATGGGGGGATTCAGCCTCCACCCTTTTTCTGGCCATTCTTTAATGGGAAAGTGGTGCCAAAAGTTGATGGAATGGGATGGCTAAAATTGCCAACGTGACTAGCCAGAAGAACCATCTGGAGTGGTGATAACAGACATAGCTATGGAAAAGGACCCATTTGTAGAGGATTACATCTTAAAATGCTGGTTTTCCATAGCAAACTTTAGAGGATTACCAGAGGGTAATCGTTTTACCAAGGTTTTGGGCAAAGAAATGGCCGATACGACAGGTGGTGCTGCCGGTGAACATTGAGTTCGGCGTGCCCACTTCAGGCATCGATGCCCACTTCAGTGGACCGGTGCATTGAAAGGGCAAGGGTAAGAGTAGAACCCCGTTCCGATGCCTTTTGTGTCGTCTCGTGGCAAGACGGTTTAGGCATTTTTGGGTTCACTATAATACTATAGCAGTCTATAGCCATATTTTGGTAAATTCCATGGTTGTGCTGGTTAAATCATTCTGATAACAGTTTTTGTTGGTTCAATCCCAACTTATGCTGCTTAAATCCCCGCTTCTGTTGGTTAAATCTTAATTTTTCTCTTGTTTAGACCCATGCTTCAGAGCCAGGTGGGGGCTCCAGCGAAGCTCCGTTGTGCTTGAACAGCCTGCCGCGACAAGTGGCCTGTTTGAATGGGGCATCTCCACATAAGTCGTGGCCAGTTCAATAGGGAAAACGAGTTTTTGACTGATGGACCCTAGGGATTGATTGGGATTTCAAATCTTGAGACAACCCTAGATATGAAGTGGAAAAATGGTAGAGCTTCACAGACAGTCCTAAGAACGCTAGCCCTCCACCAGAACCATAGCCGTTCTTGAATCGTTTTGAATCCTTCTAACCCAGATAAGTCCTTGCACATAACCAGCAGTTGTAGTCAGCATGGCAGATGTTGATGGGATGAACATCCACAACTACCAGCTATGAGATGGTGATAAAACCCTGGGTTTTCCCA